TGCTTCCGCAAGATGAGAGCAAACGCAGTGACTTGCGAGGTAATTAGTTTTAAGTTATAGTAGACTTGCGCAGCAGCATTTACCGCACTCCCTCTCTCTTCCCTCACTCACTCATCGGGCGCAGGTGGCTGGCGCGGCCGAAGCCTCCCCCACGTCCGAACCCCCATGTTTGGCATTTGTTACGGGATCGCAACCCGAATAACGCCTACCCTGATCGGGCCCCGTGTTGGTTCGGCGCATCTTCCTCGTAGCTTGTTTACGGTCAAACACACACACAAAATGAAACCACCGTGCAGGTTCTGCAGTCCATGTACTTCCATATATTCCCGATGACAGGTAAGAGCACTTGAGATTATGGCTAATCCCGAAAAACGCCAAGCTTAATGACTGACTGAGTGCTGTTTTCAGTAGTAGTTATTTCTTGTCTGTAATTTGGACACACAGAAGAACATTACCAAGGAAGATAGGAGAAACCGTGATTATAATTTCAGGCTTATTTGCCTTTCTCAGCCAGTCAAATCCAACCCCAGGTGTTGCAAAATCCGAGGCTCGAACTCGCGGTTCGTTTTTTGGAAGTCCAACGTTCTAATCATTGGGCCACTGGCTTGTTGTCTTATACAGTAGATTGCATATCTGACGAAATGTGAAGATCGATATTTGAGTGGGGGATTTGACACACACGTAATCACTTGCTACAGTGACGACCCAATCGGCGGAATCAAGTGAGAATCTGACTGGCTTAGTCCAGCGTATCTCAAAGGATGTGGAAACAAAGAAACAACAGGATGGTTTTGGGAAATCACCCTCTATAACGAACTAGAACTTTGGGCTGTTCCGTAACAACCCTACTTTACATTGCATGTAATACATCAGTATATGTGTCGGAAAATTTCATAAAAGGATTATTTTCAAACGTAGTTCTACTTGTGCTCCTTATTCACACAGATTTTTGCATGAACACACTACCACTACGTTTAAAAGTTCAGTTTTCTTAATGGCCCCAATTTTTAACGTTTTTGAAATTTTCTGTTATTCTAAAAAACTTCTTTTTCTTTACCACATAACATTAATTGATGAATCATAATATGTCTTCTTTTTTAATAGGATGTTTACTTTTATACATTAAGACTTGCGGGGACGTAGCTTGACCTATTTTTACGTGCCGGGGATTTTCTTGTAAAAATCCTTGGATTTCATCAGCTTGGCAATCTACTGTGCGTTTCGAACGGGAATATTAACTATAACTGGCTGTTGATAATTATGATAATTCCAGGCTCTCTAGTCTTTGTTGGTGGTACTTTCGGAGTTCACATATGCTATTTGGGCCACTGTCTGGAATTTGTTTTCTGGACTATTAACTGTGGAGAAGAGGATGCTATCGCTGGGACAGGCATTTAATTCGCCCGAATTTTCGAAATCCCCCACGGATTCTTCATCAGAGACATTAGCAGTAACAGTAGCAGAAACGGGTATCAACGGTTCGTAAAAAGAATCACAGCTTCACAATTTTCCGCAACGTTTGTTGGGACTACTTATCTCTGGTAGAAGAGAAAGATTGCCTTTCAGGAAACATTTCAGAAGACTGAGATACGATCGCTGGAACAATTACTTAATTATCTTGACGTTTATGACTCTCACTGTCACCCGTCGCCAGCGTTCAGTATTAATAGTACACTGTTGGCATGCAGCCATATGCCTACTATAATAAACATCTGCTTTAACCTCGTCACCGGTGTTGAATAGTGATCTGGCGTATTGCGCTCATTGTGCGTCCTTCACACTTTGCTGTGACGTTTCGTGTGAAAATCCACACAACACCAGACCAGGAAACTGCTTGTTCCAGTGATTACATCTCATTCTGCTGAGGGCTATTTTTATCCACTCGTAACTGTAGGCCCTCCGCAGTCAGCATCTGGTAGCATTTCGACCACACTAAGCGGAGCTTCGCTATGAAGGCTCTTCATGGGAACGTTCGAAACGACCTTCTTTGGAAGCAACGCGGGGTTAAAAAACGTGCGATGGCAACCCTGTGATCAGAGTTCGAGTCCGCGCTGCTGCTACCGCTGCCCATTAGCCATCCGTGTCATACTGATCGTTCAATTGAGCTTATTGATCTGCTATTCTGCCCTCCCCCAGCCCCGCCTTCCTCCTCAAACACTTTTTGCCCTCAGGTTTCTACCGCAAATGTATCGATCAGGAAGGACACGTTGACGTGAAGAAGATGATAAGCTGCCAGGCCTGTCCCTCCCTCGAACCCTTTTTGGAGCGGCTCTTCCAATCCCAGATGGTTCATTGCGTGAGTTTTGTGTGGCCTCTGCATCATCTTGCTGTATGAGTGCCTTTTTGTAAATATTTATCCGCTTCCGTTGTGCTTTCGCATTCTCACTGCTGTTGCTGCTGCTGCAGGAGGCATTTTCGTGGGTTCATGCAGTGGATTTGTTAACGTATGAACTGTTATGCTTTTCATAAGGAACTCTCTGTCACGTCAAATCTACCCATGCTGCGTCCTCATGGGTCTTACAACACTAAAGAAAAGAAATACTTAAATAGAAGACTTAATTTGATTTATATTTTCTAGCATAAATAGAATTACTTTTTCAGAAGAGTATTTGGCAAATTTTCGCCTCTGCAAGTTTGGTGTTGAATCGCAGGTACCCATTCAGTGCCTTTAACGCCGCGGGATCCTTGGACTGTTTTGAAATTGCAAAAATTCCCATCAGAGAATTCAGAAGAATATTTGGCCAAATACTCCTCTTAATTCTCTGATGGGAATTTTGGCAACTTTAATTAATTTTTACCGGAACCTCGAATTTTAGATAATGTTAAAACTCCCAGAAATAAAGCTTATTACAATGGAGGCGTATGTAACGGGGAAGATAATAACAAAAAACAAAAATCTGTACTTCTGTTGACAGTCTATTTGCAGTTAAAGCAGCATCAATTCCGTCAGACTTGGAAATACACAGGTTACCTATAGTGGTACTTTCAATTTTATTATTTAGCTCAACATCAGAATTTTCTTACATGGAAAGGCTCTTCTTTGCCTTGTACCAATTCCTCTTGGTAATTGAAAGAAATATTTTCAAGAGGATTAAGATCCGGGTAGGAAGTCCGTATGCAGAGAACTTAGCTGTTAGCCAAAAGTTCGATGATCAGTGCCAGGTTTATCAGCTGCTTACAAGATTAACAAGAGCATCATGGTGCAAAATTACGGTATCCATTCGGCGTCTGTGCGTGCCATGGTAACCGAAGACATCTCTCACAATATCGATGACAGCCTTGCTGTTTGTGGTGTCCTTTGTCCACCGCCAGACTGGCTGCTCGTCATATTTAATAACTATCCAAACCATCCACCATTGACAGTTGTTGAAGGCTGCCGTCGACACAGTGTGCCCTCATGGAAGGTTCTTTCCACTCACGAACACCAGAGCCGACTTCGTAGGCTTATCGAAAGATAAGACCTAATCGCGGAAATAATTATTCTTCCAGAATGAACGCCTGAAATCAATTTAGTTCCTAAGAAATACAGAGCGTCTGCTAAGTATGTTCGTAGAGCACATCGGCCGATTTCGCCTGGTCTCAATGAACACACAGTGGAACTTCTGTTAACGAGTTTACTCCATTCCGGCACCGAGTTCGTCATGTGAAGCGCTTGCCTTGCGAAACAGTTCACTGATTCAGAAGACTAGTTTAGCGAGCGTACGTATACTTTCGAGCAAA